CAGCCTAGCTCACAGCAACCTCAAACTCCTGGGCTCAAGCGATCCTAGTGCCTCAGCCTCCCAGGTAGATGGGACTACAGGCATGCGCCACCATGCCCGACTAATTTTTTCTCTATATATATTAGTTGGCCAATTAATTTGTTTCTATTTATAGTAGAGACTGGGTCTCGCTCTTGCTCAGGCTGGTTTCGAACTCCTAACCTCGAGCTACCCGCCTGCCTTGGCCTCCCAGAGTGATAGGATTATAGGCGTGAGCCACCACACCCGGCCCATACCTTATTTTGATTTCCTAGTTTTCACATTAAATCCTTTTTCTGTCCCAGAATGCCATACTGGATACCATATTATATTTAGTGGTTATGTTTTCTTAGGCTCCCCTTGGCTTTAACAGTTTCTCAAACATTCCTCGTTTATGATGACCTTGACAATTTTGAGGAGTACTGGTCAGGTTATTTTAGTTTTGAACACTCTCTTACTTTCTGGCACTATAATATATGCTCCAGGATCATCTTATTTTCCTAGAAGCAGCCATTTCCCTAAGGAACCCTGATTTCTTTTATTGGAAAATTGTATTAGAAACCAAAATCTAACTCTGGGAGGCCGAGGCTGGGGGACTGCTTGAGCTCAAGAGTTCGAGGCCAACCTGAGCAAGAGTGAGACCCCTTTTCTACTAAAAATAGAAAAATTAGCCAGGCTCATGGTGTGCACTTATAGTCTCAGCTACTGTGGAGTCTGAGGAAGGAGGATCCCTTGAGCCTAGGAGTTGGAGGTTGCAGTGAATTCTGATACCACCATTGCACACCACCCAGGCCAACAGAGTGAGACTCTGTCTCAAAAAACAAGAGAGAGAGAGGAAAGAAAGAAGGAAAGAAAGAAGGAAGGAAGGAAGGAAGGAAGGAAGGAAGGAAGGAAGGAGGGAAGGAGGGAAGGAGGGAAGGAGAAAGAAGAAAGAAAGGAGGAGAGGAGGAAAGAGGGGGAGGGAGAAGAGATCTGAGTGGTTGGGGTATCATTGCTTCTAGGCCCTCTTGCCTGATAGATGAGGAACTACATATATGTATACACACACACACACCCCATGACTATTTCTATATGTAATCATCTGTATCCATACTAAGGTAAATTTGCATTCATATTGATGTCTCCAACTCTAATCCATTACCACATGGATCATTCTACCCATCTCTTCTTATCTGTAACCTCTTATTCTAGCAGTGAGAAACCTGACTCTCAACCATCCTCCTGCCATTTACTTAATTGTTCAATTTCATTATACAAGTATAGTAGTTTCAGAATTGTTAACTCATATCCCAATGAGAAACACCTTTATCAACTAGACTACAGTGCTTATGTACAGTTTCTTTTAGTATTACAGGTGCCACTCATTTTCAAAGTTATATAGTTCACCTGTTCCCCTATCCCCTTAAATGAGGTTGTTTCATACATTTGCAATATCAGTAGATTCTTTTGTCAAATTCTACATTCCATTCTGGGATTCTTTGACTTCCTAAATGATTTTTTTTCCTTTTTTTTTTTCTTTTTTTGAGACAGAGTCTCACTCTGTTGCCCCAAGCTAGAGTGCCATGGTGACAGCCTAGCTCATAGCAACCTCAAACTCCTGGGTTCAAGTGATCCTGCTGCCTCAGCCTCCCAAGTAGCTGGGACTACAGGCATGTACCACCATGCCCGGCTAATTTTTTCTACATATTTTTAGTTGGCCAATTAATTTGTTTCTATTTTTAGTAGAGACAGGGGTCTCACTCTTGCTCAGGCTGGTTTCGAACTCCTGACCTTGAGCGATCTGCCTGCCTCGGCCTCCCAAAGTGCTAGGATTATAGGCATGAGTCACCATGCCTGGCCCTAAATGATTTTTTAAAGTTCCAAGTGTCTTCTAATTTCCCGTGAAACTTCCTCATTGATCCATGGATTATTTGGTAGTGTGTTGTTTGATTTCCAAGTGTTTGGAGATTTTACTCATATTTTTTTTTTTTTTTTTACTAATTTGTACTTCATTATTGTCAGAGAACCATCCAGTCAACCTAAGATATGTGGAGAATTTATCAACCTTCCTGTTGCTGTCTTACTTCCTAGAGCTTTCTGTTAACCTCAGGCTGATGGAATTCCTGCTTCTAAAGTTCCAAAGTGATTCCTCTATGGTAGCAGCAGCAACAAAACTTATTGTTTCCTTAGCCTGCCCTACTTCAGTAGAATTGTTGGGCAGCAGAGCTGGATGGGGGTGATGGGAGCAGCCCTGTGCAAAACACCACATATTGCATGGTTTTTACCTAAAGTTCAGTAGTTTTCTTCCTCTCTCCCTCTCTCCCCCCTCCTCCTTCTCCCTCTCCTCCCTTCCCCCTCCCTCTCTCCCCCTCTCCCTCTCCCTCTCACAAGAGACAGGGTCTTGCTCTGTCACCTGGGCTCAGGTGCAGTGGTGTGATCATAGCTCACTGCAGCCTTGAACTCCTGGGCTCAAGCAATCCTCCATCCTCAACCTCTCAAGTAGCAGGACTACAGGCAGGTGCCACCACACCCAGCTAATTTTTAAAGTTTTTTTTTAGAGATGGGACTCTTGCTATGTTGCCCAGGCTAGTCTTGAACTTCTGGCCTTAAGCAATTCTCCCACCTCAGCTTCCCAAAGTGCTAGGATTACAGGCATGAGCCACTGCACCTGGCCCAGTAATTTTCATCAATAAATGCTTCTGATTTTGTGGTATGCCTCTGGGCAAATTCTGGAGTGCTAAAATGGTTGTTTTTGAAATTTGTCCAATTTTATGACTCTTTTTGAGGAAGCAGATTTATTAACCTCCTCACTGTGTTATGTTAGAAGCTAGAAAGTATTATTTAGTAGATAGGCAGGAGAGTATCTGACTATTATACTTCTGTTAAATTAACGTATTATTAAAATGTTTAGGGCTGGACGCGGTGGCTCACGCCTGTAATCCTGCCACTCTGAGAGGCGAAGGTGGGCGGATCGCTCAAAGTCAGGAGTTCGAAACCAGCCTGAGCAAGGGCAAGATGCCGTCTCTACTAAAAATAGAAAGAAATTACTTGGCCAACTAAAAAATATATAGAAAAAATTAGCCGGGCATGGTGGTGCATACCTGTAGTCCCAGCTACTTGGGAGGCTGAGGCAGAAGGATTGCTTGAACCCAGGAGTTTGAGGTTGCTGTGAGCTAGGCTGACGCCATGGCACTCTAGCCCAGGCAACAAAGTGAGACTCTGTCTCAAAAAAAAAAAAAAGTGTTTAGATCATCTCCAAACCAGACTTAATATAAAAATGATATTGTCTTCTTAAGGAGGAACTGAATTTTCATTTTCTCTTTTTTTTATTACTCATGGGGCCACGTTTGCAAAGATAGGGTGCTCCACACATATTTCTAGTGGTTTTGTTACTTTATTGTCTATCACAGAAACAGGTGATTTCCTATTTGTAGTTCTAATGGCATTCTTTCAATAATTGCTGGCATTTCATATTTTTCCCATTTAGCCGAGATTGGTGGACACATTTGTAGGCCTTAGCACAACATTTCATAAATTATCAGCAAGGAGTTAGTAAGTATTGCATGGTCAAATGCAAAATGTGGGATTCGATCATATGAAAACTGGTTTCTTCACTGTATAACCTCTTAACTCCTTTACTGTGCTAATATGAATTGAGAATTCCAAGAAAGGAAATAAAATATAACATTTCCCAAAATAATTTTACCAGAGAACCCATTTTTCATAGAATACATTTTAAGAAGCACTGTCATGACACATACATATATTATGTGTGTGTGTGTGTGTGTGTGTGTGTGTGTGTGTGTGTGTACACAGAGAGAGAGAGAGAGATCCACACTCATCCTTCCCTGCCCACAACTATTCCTGTTTTGTGGGAAACATGAGCTGATGAATAGTATTGCAATGTAATGGTATCCACAATGCATGTGTGTAATTATCTTATAATATGAGCACTGTGGTAAATTATACAGAAAAAAGTTAACATAACAGGCGTGAGACTACTGCTATCTTTAGAAAGGTCTTACAAGGTTACTACTTGGCTGGTATGTGGGAACTTGGTTTCCCTCTGTTCCCAAACTGGTAAATAGTTTGTTGGTATAAATAATGTGATTTATGCTGAACACCTGTTTTCCTTCTGAGAGTCTGGAATTTTGTTATGTGCCTCTAGGACCAGCCCCCAATGAAAACCTTGGACACCAAATCTCTAAAGGTCTTCCCAGGGCAGAAACTCATATACCTGTTGCTGCATTTTTGTTGTTGTTGCTCCAGAAATTAGCATGCTCAACTATGCCCCCTCACAATAGGGAGAGTGCATAAAGAAGTATATGCATAAATTTCTCTAGACTCCTATCTTTTTCCTTTGCTGATCTTATTGTATATTATTTCACTGTAATAAACCTTGGCCATGAATACAACTATATGTTGAGTCCTGTGAGACCTTCTAGCAAATCACTGAATGTGTGGGTGGTCTTGGAGATCCCAAAACATAATCACATTATGTACATTGTCTTAATCCTCAAAACAATTCTGAAAGGTAGGTAAATATTAGTGTTTGTCTTTTATAGGTAAGGAGACTGAAATTAGTGAGGTTTAGCAACTTCCCTAGGATCTCAGTTAATAAGCGAGAGAATCCAAATCTGACTCCAAAGTCTTGGCTCTTAACTATTATACTGCATTGCTTCTAATACCATAAACTGTGTTTGCAGTGGGTTGAAAGAAATGAATGATGACAGTGGTCTGAGAATACTTCATGCAGGAGTTAGGATTTGAGTTGGTATTGAAGGGTAGGTAAATGGGCAGTATTAAAATAGATTAAGTGGAGGGGAATGAGTATTGTCAATTGCATGATATTAAGGCATGCAAATGGTAAAATGCAAGATTTATTTTGGAGACAGACAATATAACAGTTGGGTGAAATGGAGGAAACACTAGAAAGTTTTTTTCTATACTTTTTCTTTTTTTCTTTTTTTTTTTTTTAAATGGGATCTTGTTATGTTGCCCAGGCCGCAGCCTTGAACTTCTGGGCTCATGTCATCCTCCTGCCTCAGCCTTCCAAGTAGCTGGGATTACAGGTATGTGCCACCATGCCTTGCTCCTTCCATACTTTTAAGGGAAACAAACTTTAGCCGCTGCCATAGCTTGTTATGCTAGTGTTTTGTGTAAAATAATGTATCTGATCTAACACACAATTATATATTTAAGCTCAATAAGTGTGATATGTTTGTTTAAGGATAATAAGATAATGTATTTGTTCTGCAAAGACAATGATTTCCAAGGACTTTGCCACCTAAACAATTTGAAGCCCTACTATTGTTAGCGTTAAGGAATTATGTATGTATGTATGTAGAGGAGGGAAATACTGAAAGCAGCATTTCACTGATACCAATCTGGTGGCAGTGTGAAGAATACATTGGCTAGAGCCAGGGAGTCCATTTAGATCATTACAATCGCAGTGGTCCCCACATGAGATGATTAAGAGCTTAGAGAATTTTAGAAATGAAAATGGACAAAAGACATCATGCAGGATGAATTGCCATGGTGTAGTGATGTACTGGATATGTGTGTGTTTGTGGGGAGATCCAAAGGATCTGAGTCTGGGTGGTTTGGAGAAAATATTGTGTCTTTAATAGAAATATGACATTTAGGCAAACTGTCATGCCAGGACCATGGATGTATTGAATGATTTATTAACATTCAAGCAGAAAAGCTCATTTGGAGTTAGTTGTAAACTTGGGATTGAAGAGAAAAATCAAGATTTGAGATGAGATGGAAACATTTGCGATGGAGTGATCACTGAGACTATCTGAATATAGGCATCACCTTGGTGGGAAAGAACAAAAAAGAGCACCACGGACTGAACTCTGGTTTTATTCATTCCATCAATAAGAAATGAATATTATAGAATACCTTTGAAGTTAATAAGTAATGTTATTACTTCCTATTATAAACCACATTTGCCAAGTACTTATTTTAATGTACATTGATCGGGTACTTTCTGTTTTGTGAACTTTAAGTGATCTTTTACAGTGTGATATGAATAACTTTTAGATAAAATCAATAAATAAATGACCCCTACCATATACAAAGTATAGTTGAGCACTGAATAACATTTTTTTCCTTCTCATATATAGCACATTGCTCTTGGTAACTTTGGGGGTATGCGTGTGTGTGTGTGTGTGTGTGTGTGTGTGTGTGTAGATCTTTCTGTTGCCTGCTTATGAGTGGAATTGCCCCAGCCTCTGTTTCATTTAAATAGTTGTTTTGGTTTGTTAATTAATTTTTCCTGCAGTTGTCAGCTGTTGTACCAGTAGTGCAGCAGTCATCACTGACTGCCATTGAGTGTACAAGATAACTTGTTCCTCCAGATTTGTGCACAACAAAAGTCCTAACATTGTATTTTCCCTTAGTGTAGAAATATTCTTTTTTGGTTTTTTTGTTTTGTTTTTTGTTTTTTGAGACAGAGTCTTGCTTTGTTGCCCAGGCTAGAGTGAGTGCCGTGGCATCAGCCTAGCTCACAGCAACCTCAAACTCCTGGGCTCAAGCAATCCTCCTGCCTCAGCCTCCCGAGTAGCTGGGACTACAGGCATGCGCCACCATGCCCGGCTAATTTTTTCTCTATATATTAGTTGGCCAATTAATTTCTTTCTATTTATAGTAGAGATGGGGTCTCGCTCTGGCTCAGGCTGGTTTCGAACTCCTGACCTCGAGCAATCCGCCCGCCTCGCCTCCCAGAGTGCTGGGATTACAGGCGTGAGCCACCACACCCAGCCTAGAAATATTCTTAAATGAATGACATTTATACTTACCTCTCTGCAACAAATTTTTTAAAAGCAGAAGGGATTGAGCACAAAAATATTCCAAAGTTGGGTAGGCAAAACCGCTAGCACTAATATGTTTATGTTTCTGACTATCTTCTCCTTTTAATACTACCTGCAGACATTCTTCCAGGGTAAGGACACAATCTATAAAGGCTTCAGCTCTTAAGACTTCCCCTACTTTATTGTGCTTTTTATTCCCTCCCTGGAGTAGATAGAGAATTAGATGAATATGCAAAGGGATAATAAGAAAAAATATTTGTATTATAGACTGACTTGTGTGTCTTAGGATTTTAGGTCTTAGAAGAATAGGAATTGCAACAAGGTTGGTATGTCATTTTAAAACATCATGGTTGCCTCACATTAGTAATAAACGTTGTTATAAAACTCTCATATATGTGAATGTTCTGATTAATTCATTAAACTCTTTTTTTTTTTTTATGAGATAGGGTCCTGCTCTGTCACCTAGGTTGAAGTACAGTATGGCCTGATCATAGCTCTGTATAACATTGAACTCCTGGGCTCAAGCAATCCTCCTGTCTCAGCTTCCTGAGTAGCTGTGACTACAGGCACATGCCACCATGTCCAGCTAGTTTTTAAAAAGTTTTTGTAGAGATGAGGTCTCACTGTGTTGCCCAGGCTGGTCTTTAATTCCTGGCCTCAAATAGTCCTCCCACCTTGGCCTCCCAAAGTGCTGGGATTATAGGTGTGAGCCACCACATCTGGCCCTCATAATTTTCACTAATGTTTTTATTTAATATTTAATTTCCTTGAATCTAAGCTTTCAGTAATGCAGGGTTCATAGAGAATCACAGACTATGCATAAGCAGTCATGAGATTATCATATTCCTCCTTATTAAGTAATGTCTTCATCCAAGATTACTCTAGGGCAACAGCTTTAAACCATTTCCTAGTTTATTACATCAGTTGGCATGGTATAATGGAAAGCACACTGACTTGACAGTCAGGATACTTGGGTTCTAGGCCTAGCATATAACCCCAGTTGTTTATCTTCTGGGTCCCAGTTTCACTATTTATAAAATACAATGATATTTGCTGTCCCTGTATTACAGGCCTGTTTTAAGTTTCAAAGAAGATAAAGAAAAGTACTTTGAAAATGTTAATATGGAGGATTCTAGTAGTATCTTTTGCATTTTCCATATTTTTTCATGATTAAAAAAAAGTACCATAACAAACGTACAGAAAGTTTCACATATTTGTTCAATTAAGTCCCTGGAAATATTATGCTTAAATGTCACAACTATATTTACAATTGGTTTTAGAGCTATTGTGTAAGTTTTTGGCTTATAATTCAATCAGAGGAATGAGAACCCTATGAATATTTTCTATAAGAATGATTTCATAAGCATGAATAATAGTACTAAATTATCATTTAAAGACTTGGCGTGTGATGCTCAGGAAACTTTGCACTAATAAGAGTCATCTGTAATTGACTAATTTCTTTGAACATTTTATGCTCCAGAACTCATGAAGCTATCAAACCATCTGCATCCTCATTTCTGCTATTGTAGATACATATTCTTTTTTAAAATCATAAACAGAAATATTGGTAAAAGAATAAAATGAGATTCTAGTTTTCTGAATCTTGTTGAAAGTAAATATAATAATATTGAAAAGAGAGAGAGTCTTTGTCGAGACTTTAGAGTTTCAGGTCTGTAACTAGTTGGAAGAACCTGGGCATGGCAATTTACTTTTTCTGGGCTGCGTTTTCCCATTATAAAACAAGTGGTTTGCACTAGACTAATGCGGGGGAGTAGTTCAGGCAGGCCAGTGAGGAGATCAGCTTCTTCTCCCCACGGAGCCAAGTCCATAAGATAGGGGTCGCCACAGAGGATAAGGAAATTGATAGAAGATAGAGAGAAATAAAAGAATATACAGAGACTAAAGTATAGTTTATAGTTTTGTATATATAAAAGATCAGATATAACACAGCGGGGTACTCAGGAGACTGGTGTATCCCCATGAACGCCAGCAATATGGTTAGATTCATACAGGGTTTTATAATCACAGACATCAATTAACAGTTGTTAGGATAACATATTTGCATATGCAGGGAATGCAGTTGCTAGGGGATACAGGTAGTGGGTTAGGGTCAAAAGTCCTCTCAAGGGGCTTCTAATCTATCTAGGTGAACAAACAAGTACAAAGTCTTTCAGGGACTAACTTCTAAATTCTAAATGGTAGTTGTCAATTAACAAAGGTATAACAAAAGAGGTATAGTGACTGTGTATTTCTTTGATTAGTTATGGTGGACTTAAAGGTAGAGAGACAGGAGAGAGCAGGAAATCCATCTCTAATAAACAGATTGTTTATAACCACCGGGGCGCATCTCTGGGCAAAGTGCACTTATTGTCTCTGGCTTCCATCCTGTGGGCTATATTTGCCTTGTCTTGTCTTTCAAGACACAGGGAAGCTCACAGATTTTGAGATACCGGGAAGCCTTCCTGGAAGACATCCCCACCAGAGATTTGAGAGCTCTCCCATGATAGCAGCCTCTAATAAGTGAACCATTGAGTCCATACATTCCTTCAGGGCAAAACCCTGCAAACTCCTGTTTCTGTCTTTAATATAGTAATATTGGGTTATACAATAAAATAATGATCTTATGAGCTACATTTCATTAATTCCTTAATCATTTTTCTCAACAGACCTCTAAGGTTCTTTATTAACGTCCTCTGATTCTTTTTTTTAACGCTTCTAAGCATCTATCTGAGGAAGCTGATGAAAATATTTGAGTTTATACTAATTTTGGGAGATCCTATTTATTATACTTGATTTATACCTAAGGTAACCATATAATTTGCTGTATAAACAAGAGGAAACTTTTGAGATTAAAAGGGAATACTGAGTTTGTGAGCAACTCCAGGACACTAGCTTTAAACCAGGAACATCCCAGGTAAACTAGAATGTCTGGTCACCCTAATATGTATCCCATGTGTGGTTATCTTAACTGCATTGTTGGCCAAAGAAGAGTTATTGATTTATCAGTTATAATTCCTTTTCATGGTTTCCCTGTATTTTTTTCTTATAGATCCACTGTGCGTGGAGAGTAATGCAACATCATGCCAGCAATCTCCAGCCACTAAAAAAGGGATGTTCACAGATGATTTACACAAGCTGGTAGATGACTGGACAAAGGAAGCAGTAGGAAATTCTCTTATTAAGCCAAGTTTAAACCAACTTAAACAGAGTCAACACAAATTGGAGACAGAAAACTGGAACAAAGTATATGAAGTAAGTTGTTTATGAGAACTAAAACCATAAAAATTGAATCACTTATGCCTATGGTAACAGTCGCTATGAGACAGTGGTGTGACATGATAACACAGGGACTTTTATCTTTGTCTAAATTCATTATATCTTTCAGCAGATTATCTTTTAGACCAAGGGTCAGTAAACTTTTTCTAGGAAGGAGCCAGTTAATAAATATTTTAGGCTTTTCAAGACATAGGATTACAAGTACTCAAATCCATTATAGTGCAAAAGCAGCCATAGATTTGTAAACAAAGGGTGTGGCTTTGTTCCATAAAACTTGACTTACAAAAAGAGGTAGCAGACCATAGTTTGCTTACCTTGTTTTAGACTATTCTAGCTTTTTAAAAAAATACATCAAATATCAAAGAAGAAAGCATCTGGAGTGAGGGTTAATTCAATCCTGTCGTTCAAGAAGAGTTTGGGTTTTAAGGAAAAGCTATCCTATGTTGTGTATCAGTTATTACAGTGTATTACAGCCAATAAGTTATCTAATTTGTTCAGTATGAAAAATAATTTTAAAACTCTTTAAGCTAGAATATTATAAGAGGTATCTTAAGTTTATGTACGAGATGCCTAGTTATTGCATGTGGCCTTAGTCAGGTGTACATGCAATTGCAATGTAGAAAGATGTCCACAATGCATTCTAGAGTAGGAAGAAGGCAGGTTTATAGAACAGCATACATAGTATAATATAATTTATGCAAAATTATATTTATTAGATATATGTTTATATGCATAGAGAAATATGAAAAGCCACAATAATATGCTGGGTGGTGGAATTCGGGCCTTATTTTATTTTGTACTTTTCTGTGTTTGAATTTTTATAGTAAGTGACATTTTTTTTTTTTTTGAGACAGAGTCTCGCTTTGTTGCCCAGGCTAGAGTGCCGTGGCGTCAGCTTATCTCACAGCAACCTCAAACTCCTGGGCTCAAGCGATCCTGCTGCCTCAGCCTTCCGAGTAGCAGGGAATATAGGCATGCGCCACCATGCCCGACTAATTTTTTCTATTATAGATTAATTTCTTTCTATTTATAGAGATGGGGTCTCGCTCTTGCTCAGGCTGGTTTCAAACTCCTGACCTCGAGCAATCTGCCCGCCTCGGCCTCCCAGAGTGCTAGGATTACAGGCATGAGCCACTGGGCCTGGCCTAAGTGACATTTTCTTAAAATGAGTAAACCGATTAAAATGCAAATCAGGGCTTAGAATCTTAACCCTCATAATTGAAAGAGCTATATCTCTGTGTATGTGTGTTATATTTGTGTGCATACATGTGTATGCATATGTAGTCATTGAATATAGTTTGGTAAAGTCTGATAGTACATTTATTATTAATATTGAATAAAAATGTTCAAAATCCCCAAACTAATAACCAACGTATCTCCTTGAGGATTCTATGTATTTATCTTACTGCTGGTACCAATTTATACACAGTATTACCATTGTAAAAATTGGAAGCCTTTATAGGCAAATTTCAAATACAAATGTATTTGTATTGCCAGTGGGAGACCCTCTGAGTACTGTGTGAATGGAGGCTTTTGTTGACTAGTGGAGGGTGGTTTATTGCAGTGTAATAGAGGATGTTGGGAGGAAGGGCCAGTAGAAAATGATGTGTGAACAAAGTAGTGAAGTTCATTTAACAGATATGGGTTCCAGTCTCAGCTTAGTCATTTACTAGTTGTCTTTAGATAAGTCATTTGGTCTCTCTGTCTCTGAGTTTTCATGTCTTTCAAACAGGAATAATACTTGTCTTGCAAGATTACTGAGAGGATTAAATGAGATAACACCTATAAAGCTGTACCTTTATAGGTGTTATATAGTAGGTATTCTATATATGGGAACTATTTTTGTATTTTTAGGTTCAGTTTATTATATCTTTGTGTAAAGAGCCCATTGCACTAATATTCTTCCATGTTATTGATCTGTAGCCTTACTTAGAAATATTTGTTTGCACATTTATGTATCAAGCCCTTTACTGTGTACCAAGCTCTGTGCCAGGAGTTCAAGACCAGGCTGTATTGCTCACTATGAGTAACATAGCGAGACCCCCATCTCTACAAAAAATATAAAAAGTAGCCAGACATGGTGTCATGCACCTGTAGTCCCAGCTACTTGGGAGGCTGAGGCAGGAAGATTGCTTGAGCCCAGGAGTTGGAGGTTGCTGTGAGCTATGATGATGCCACTGCATTCTGGCCTGGGCAACAGGCAACATAAAAAAACATAAAAATAAAAAAATATTTTTAGAAAATAAAGTGATGATTGAGCAGAGATCTGAAAGATGAGTAGGTGTTAACTAGGTGAAAAGGAGAGAGAATGTGATTCCATGCAGAAAGAATAGCATAGGCAAAGGAAAACTCTCTATGAGGAAGGGAGCATGAAGGGACTGAAAATTTGCCTGTTTGTCAGAAATAAAGAGTACCAAGTTGGTACACAGTAAATCTAAGGAGGTAAATAAGGTGTTAAAAGTGGTGATGATAAGGAACTTTGTCTTTAAGAAAGATGGATAGCCATTGAAGACCTAGAGTTGACATGATCATATTTAATTTTTTTTAAAGATCACTGACTGAAGCAAGAGGAAAGCATTATTGGGGGTAGGGATAGATGTCATAGTAGTCTAGATAAAGGGAAGTTGAGTTGAAGAGAAGTGAACAGACTTCCAAAAAATATTTGAGAGATAAAATGGACATGATTTGGTGACATAATGAATGTATAGCAGAGGGGAAGTATCAAGGCTGGGTTCCTGGCTTGTATAACTAGATACCATTCCAGTGGATGAATCCCTGAAATGGAAAACATGAGCAGTGTGCTTTGGTAGGGGAAGATTGCACATTTGGTTTGGGGCATTTTGAATCTGAGATGCCTTTGAAATATACAAGAGAAGATTTATAACCTCCAATTTGTCTTTTTAAAAAATAAAATTGTATTATTGTTTGTAAACCAGTAATGTTTATTATAGTGTTTAACCAATACAGAAAAGTACAAATTTTAAAATACCACCTTCAAATCCTACCACCCAGAAATAATTTTCATTAACTTTAGGTAAACATAATTTCAGATAGCTTTCTATGTATGCATGGAAATAACTTTATTAAAATGCTATCATGTTCTATGTGCTGTTTTAAATCAGAAATATTAAGTTTAACAGAAAGAAAACACTGGTATGAAGAGGGGATTGCTGAACTTTAAATAAATATTTTTTCACCTCAAGAGATATTGTCATTCATTCTTGAGTCAAACTAAAAACCTTTACCTTAAGTTGAAAATTTCTAACTAAAGATTAGTTGAAACGTTAAAGTTTAGTTTTTAGCTAAATGAGTTGAAAATTTAGTTTTAGCTTGACAAGTCAATTTAGAAGAACTAAGCATTTGGGACTGACACCAAGCTCTCCTTTAGTCTAATGCTCTCCTAACTGAGCCATTTCTGCTGCCTCCAAGCACTCCTTTAAACGAGAATTACTTTCATTGGACTTCTTATTCCCATGTGCATAAGATTTCAGTAATCTCTATACATATGAATAGTTATAATACAATATGATAAGAATCAGGCAGGAATATATTTTCTCCATACTGCCAAAAACATAATTATCTCATCTTGAGTTTAAATTTCTAAGAAAATAACATAAATGTCAGACTTTAAGATAGTGAATAGAAGGGGGTAGGGGGTAGAAAGGGGACATTTATTGAGTACCTGCTATATGCCAGGTTCTTTCCCCTATGCCACACTAAATCATGCTCCTTTGTTTCCAAAGAATTATGTCCTAAGATGGCTATTCTTGTCTATAGCACTGTATTAGAGAATGCTGACAAAAGGAAATAAAAATAGAAGAGTAGTGCTAGCATAGGAAAGGAGGGACTAAAAATATGAACAGGGATTTAGTATAGGCTTTGGAGTTAGCTAGAACTGTGTTCAAATCCCCACCTCACTATTAACTTGCTTAGTGGTGTTGGGTGAGTTACCAATTTTCAGCTTCTGTTTCCTCATCTAAAAATGCCTACCCTGCAAGGCAAGGCAGTTATGAAATAAGGTATGTAACCATGCTTACTTAGCGCACAAAAAGGTACTCCAAAAATGGTAGCTACACATAATGGGAATAGTAAGCAAAAAAGAATAGGAAGGAATATAGACTGATAAAAGCATACACCAAATAAACTGATCTTTTGTTTTTATTCTTGTTTTTGTTAGAGTACTTCATCTACTATGGGCTACACATCAACATGGATTTCTTCTCTGTCCCAAATCCGTGGAGCTGTCCCAACTTCCTTACCACAAGGACTCTCACTTCCTTCATTTCCTGGGTCATTATCATCATATGGAATGCCCCATGTTTGTCAGTATAATGCTGTGGGGGGGACAGGGTATCCAGTACAATGGGTAGGAATTTCAGGAACAACACAACAGTCTGTAATAATTCCTACCCAATCTGGGGGACCATTCCAGCCAGGGATGAATTTGCAGGCATTTACAACTTCACCAGTGCAGAATACAGCCACAATCCCTCCTGGTCCCAAATGAATCAGAGTAGATGGTGAAGAAAAGGGAGAATGTTTTCAGAATTATTTTCAGGTCACCTAAGACATTAAAGTTTCTTCTTCTTGGGTTCTGCCATATTTTCCCTCATTTGAGTTTACCTTAGACTGTAATTTTTGTCGTTCCAATGTGGTATTTGGTACAGATCATCATTCTGTAGAAATGTGCAGTTTGCACATAGAACACTGCACACAGAAGTGTTTTTTCACTTTGAATCCTATCCTCTTTGATACTTGATTTTTTAAAAATACCATTCAGAATGCTTTAATAAGCTCTCCTCGAGCATTATCATTTCCAGGATACTTTCCATGCGTTGCTGAGAAGCCCCCATTTATTTATTTATTTTTTTTTTACTGCTGCTGTCTGCAGCTGGATGATCCTTTTCTTTAAAATGTGTAAAAATTTAGATTGAGTCTCCTGAAACGTGGATGAAGTGAGACCCTCCAACAACCAGAGTCTTGGGATTCTTCACATCTTTATCTTCAGTTTACCTTTCACAGAAGGCAGGGTAATGTGCTGCAGGAAACATTCTGGTGTATAAAATTAGAATAACTTTATCAACCAATACAGAACATGAGCCCTTTTTAATGTGATTGTCTTCTCATCATCATGGCAATAGGAGTGAAGTCTTGTTTTGGGTGAGGGGGAGGGAAAGGAAAAAACAAAACTGTAACAGTTCCTTGATTCTGCAGATACCATAGCTACTTTAGGATTTGCATAATTCAAAGCAGCTATCTTCTCGTTTCTCACATGCACACTGCATTGGTTTTGAGCATCTGAGAGGCATTGGTTTGGTTTGCATTCTTTTGCAAGAGATATATTGCAGCTGATATGCATCTCATTTGGAGGGAATCCTTATATTCCTAACAAAGGGGATTCAAATTACACCTCAGTCTGTTCTTCTGAAGTGAAATTTACTTGACACAGGTTTTGTAGGTTTTGAGACTTACACATGAAACACTGGCTTTACAGGGTTCTAAGAGATGTAGGGTATACACTGTCCTGCAGTGAGATAGTAGACCCTAGAAGGTTATTATTTAAGTTGCCCTTAGCTTTTTCTGGATTACCATTTTTTAGTTATAGTTTCTTTTTAGTATCTATAGTGTCTTAGATGATTTTAAATCTTAGATGAGTTTGGCAGCCTCTTTAGAATCTGAGAGAGATCACTGTCAAGTTGTGCTTTACTGGGTTTTATCCAGTTTTAGGAGGAGGGGACGCAATGTCAAAATGTTCACCTTTGGTTTTTAAGAAGGTTAAATATAATACTATTAAAGGCTGGTCACAGGGTTACCTAATGCTCAGTCTGTGAAACCCAAATAGAAATCTTAAATGGTATTTATTGACTACCAAGTATATATGTTCAAACTACTTAACCTTCCATTCTGAAGATTTCAAGCTTGTTTCTAGTACACATTTACCTAATTAGTAGTTCTGTCCACTAGTAAACATTCCAAATCATCAGCTAACATTTCTTTTAACATATTTTCCTCCATATTCCTTAAAAATTGCACTCCATGGGCTTGCCAGGTAATGAGGAAAACTTAATGGGTGTACTTCCTCTTCCTTTTTTTTTTTTGACACAGTCTACTTTGTGATATTAAGTACCCCTTTTCATAAAAAGTGTCTTATATTGCTTACCTGAGGATAATACCCACTATCATGAAGATTCTGTCTCTATCATTTGGGGCATCTAGGGCAGCATTTTGAGAATTGCTGTTGCTAAGATCCACAGTTTCTTTTCATAGAACATACTCTGTTTTGGATGAGTTTTTCCAAATCTGTGTACAGATTCTTCAAATTTCTTCTACAGTATTGGTTTGCAAGTTCAAGTGATTTTAGGACATTAGTGTAATGCAAATGCTTGCATTGCAGTGTTTTCCATGTGTATAAAAACAATTCTAAAATCCGTAATTCTTTAAAACTGCTCATGTTTCATTATAACAGCTGGCTTTGTGTAATTACATTGAGACATACAACCTATAAAGTGAAAATACTGCAGGGTTTAAGACCCCTTCTTCTCTAGTCACAATCTTTTCAAACAGTGTACCCCAGGATGAAAAAAGCTCCATGGACAACATGTACAATTACATTTATTAATGGCTGCTCTATATCATATGTCCTGTATTTTGCTATCACCTCTGTTTTATATATAATTCATTATTCTTGTTTGCCTGCAGACTTTTGCAGTGCCTTGTAATATTTACAATCTTTTCAGGTTTTTGCTGGAAAGAAAAGTAGTCTTCTAAAGTTTGAAGATGGTGAATAGTGTACTGCTGTCTCCATGCCGACTGCAGTAGTTGCGATTAACATATATGTTATGTATACATTATGTATATGTAACGTGTATAAGTTTAAAAATACAGAAAAAGTGAGTTTGTGCAGAAATGAAGAAAACAATGTTATTCTCATCACTGTGGGTTTTTAAATTATTTTTCCCATTACTTAAATGTTTGATTCAGATTATAGTCACTTTGTAAATATTGGCTAGTTTTCTATCTAGGGGTTTTACATTATTTCATAATTTTGCTAAATCATATAATAGTGCTGTTTTCATCCTTGCCTGAGGTACTTTTCCTCCCCAGAAATAATTAACTCTTAAGGTAAAACTCAGAAATTCCCTTCTTACTTAACAAAGAGCCTACTATATAAAAAGGGCCTTCTATCCATTTCTAAAACACACACAAACCTGTCCTTTTCATTTTCCTTTTTGTAGAGGAGAAAAAGGTTGTATTTAACCATCCTGCTTGTAAAGTTTATTTGGGGGATAGTCTGTATGTCCAGCCACCATGTTTACTTCTCAAAGTGCAAATCTGATGAATAATACTGTATCTCCATATGTGGCGATGTGAGCATTTCATCATGAAGTACCTGCTGCTATGTCTGTGAAGTTGGGTGTAACATCATAAGAATATGAAACCAGTATTTGGTGTAAATCTAATGAAAATAACCCTATGTATATTTGTAGCAGTCTTGAATCTCTATTTAAGGTAATTTGCTGTAATATAACAAATAACCATTCTGTTTTTCATCCTTTCCTTGCCAATTTTATATCAAGCATGAATTCTAATGGTTTGCCAGCAAAATTATCTGTGAAAGTTTAAAAGGCACTTTTCTGCTGTGATTTTTTTGATTGAGTGTGGAGTGTTATGTACAGTATGATGGGATGTATCATTTTAGAACCCCAGATTTAATTCCAGTCCAATTACTTTTGTTTATCTACCTCGTTTTCAGTGCTGTTTTGAGTGCAGAAGTAAACACTGCCTGTGAAACTTGCTTTTTTGCCTTGATTCTCAGTATTCTTTCAGATTATAAATCTGGCCTGCCTCTTTATCCCAGTGCTAACCATGAGTTTCAGATGAGAGGGACCATCACTCTGCCACCAATCTGTGTTTAAGTGATGAGAGCCATGTGCCTCTGTGAAATAAACTTTGGGGATTTAGGAATGGGGAGCAGAGAAATAAATCCAACTGGTGGCAATGTAGGACTTAGTTGTAGGAGTTAGTTGTAAAACAAACAAATGGTAAGAAAGTACCTGTATCAGACAGTCCAGTGCCTATAATTTTGCATTTTTTGTTTTGCTTTGTTTTGCTTTTTTGAGACAGAGTCTTGCTTTGTTGCCCAGGCTAGAGTGAGTGCCGTGGAGTCAGCCTAGCTCACAACAACCTCAAACTCCTGGGCTCAAGCAATCCTACTGCCTCAGCCTCTCAAGTAGCTGGGACTACAGGCATGCGCCACCATGCCCGGCTAATTTTTTCTATATATTTTTAGTTGACCAATAAATTTATTTCTATTTATAGTAGAGACGGGGTCTCGCTCTTGTTCAGGCTGGTTTCGAACTCCTGACCTCGAGCAATCCGCCTGCCTCGGCCTCCCAGAGTGCTAAGATTACAGGCGTGAGCCACCGCACGTGGCCAATTTTGCATTTTTAATAGAGATGCATTTCTCATCTGTGTGCCTAAAGGGCTATGGTTGAAATTGCTTTAACTACCACAGTAAAATATTTGACAAATCCTTTAGCAATTGCCTGTCATTCAACATATTAGTATACTGCTAGGTATTCTCAGTGATATTTTGTTACCTTAGAATGGCCAAATTTATTTAGTTGAATTGTAGTTGATGTCGAGGGCTTTATATAACTGTTTATCTAATCTCTAAAGTTTATGGAGGCATTGACTTTCTTCTTTGTTGTTTCTTCTAATGAAAATGATTCATTCCCTTTTTCCCTAGGAAAACTCAGCAGATATTTATAACCCGAAGTTCCTTGTTTCACATGTTTACTGTGTAATACTACACCATACTTAATATTCATAAATAATGTGTTTCAGTCATCATGCATAAGTACATTCCTGAGGTATATTTTCTATCACTTTGGGATTCAGTTATTTCATCTCTGGTCCAGAAAAACTTGAGCTATTTGAGGTGGTGCACAGGCCGTTTTCTAGAATAGATTGTTTTTTTGAATCTGTAGTTTATTGAAGACTTGTTTTCCCCCACTTCATTTAGAAGAAGAACCAGAAAGGGGGAGTGTGTAGAAAAGGCCTTTGATTTGATAAGTGTTATTTCTAGGATTGAATATTTTAAAAAAATCCAGATTGCAAAATGGTGACACTCAAACTTGGTAAAATCCTTTGAAGTGAGATTAGTATGAAATTTTTATGGAGCAAAATGCTTTCAGATCACCCTAGAAATAGTCTATGTGAAGGATGAACACAAATATTGGTCAGGAACCTTGACAGCCAACATATGAAGGAGCCTGGGATAGTAACCAGGTTACACTAAAGTTATTTTCAACTGAGACAGCTGGAAGAGTATACAAACCAAGAGCTCCCATTCTGGAAGGTTTTCTTTTAATTAAAAAAAAAAAAAACTCAAGCAAAAAGGCACTAAAAGTCAAGCAAGAAGGGAAGAGAGAAACTGGGCTCTGAGAAAAAAAAAATGTGCCAGTGTAAAATAAACTCCTAAATGTGTGCTTGTCATCCTGTAGTTTTTTTTTTTTTTTTAGTTGCATTTCTTTTCCACTGTTACTTGATTTGAGATTGAGGTTTGTGGTATAGAACATACCCTCAGGAGGTGGTATAGTGACTAATCAGAAAGTGCAGTTGTTCAAGGTCTGTCATGCTCAATCACCTAAAGCTGTAATTTGTTTGATATGAATATTAAGCATGTAGACCTAGAGTAGCATGGGAGCCACTCAGGAAGTTTATGCAATTAATGAACTTTCTTGCATAATTTACTATGAAGTATGCAGAGTTTCAGCCACTTCTCTACACTTAATATTTAGTTGTATATGTGAACTCTCCCTTCTTAATTGGGGAAGGTAGCATTATATAGAATATTGTTAAACTTAATTTTAATCTTTTTTGACATTAACTTTTCTTTTTTTTTTTTTTTTTTTGGTAAACCAAGTAATCTGCCTTTCAGCAGTTGTCTAATAATTTTGGTTCTTTGAAACTGTGATTTTTATTTCCATTTGTACTCAACCATTGTAAGTATTTTGTTTTGTTTCCTGGAAACTTTATTTTGAAACAGAAAATAAAGGTTGTGTTAAATGAGTATGTTATTTTATTAAAATACTGTCATAGTCACTGCAGTCATCTGGTTTAAACTGATTCTTCATTTACCAAATGTAATTTAGCAGATTTGGAAAATTTAATCCTGTAGATTATGCTGGCCTAAACTAACAAAACTATGTGTTATCTCTTGATTTACAATTCCAGTAAATTTTGAATTGGTTAGGGTGGAAAGCCTAGTAGGTGCTGTACACTTGTAAATGAGCCATAATTACAGCAGTCACTATTATTTACCGAATACCCATGTGTTAGCTTGGTTTTTACCTGTGGTATTTTTAATTTGCACAACCCTATAAGATAGGCCTGTTGGCCAGGCTCAGTGGCTCACGCCTGTAATCCTAGCACTCTGGGAGGCCAAGGTGGGAGGATCTCTCAAGGTCAGGAGTTCAAAACCAGCCTGAGCAAGAGTGAGACCCCCGTCTCTACTATAAATAGAAAGAAATTAATCGGCCAACTAAAAATACATAGAAAAATTAGCCGGGCTTGGTGGCACATGCCTGTAGTCCCAGCTACTCAGGAGGGTGAGGCAGAAAGATTGCTTAAGCCCAGGAGTTTGAGGTTGCTATGAGCTAGGCTAATGCCATGGCACTCAAGCCCAGGCAACAGAGTGAGACTCTGTCTCAAAAAAAAAAAAAAAAAAAATCAATTATTTTGACTTCTTGGCCCAATGACTTTGAGTCATTCTATCTTAGGTGCTCCCTAGAAGGAAGCAACAGGTACACAGTGGAACAAGCATGGGTATTTTGGTTCACACACCTCTCAAACTTCTATTTTCTTAATTGTAAAATGAGGTGGTTGTGTTAAATGAGATATATGAAGTCAGCTACCCCTGTTCCTAATTTGCTAATTGTGCCTAGTAGATCTCACTGGTGATTTTCACACTATACTTGCACTTGGGAAATCAAATTGGTTTGGAAATCGGCTCCTGCTTCTTATTATAGTTAATACAGATACCTTTTCAAGTACAGCAGACCTGGATTTGTATTCTATTTTGTGAACTTGGGAAAATTGCTTAACTTTTCGGCTTCAATTTCCTTATCTGTAAAAAGGATAATCGCTTCAGTGGGGTTGTTTCAAGACTGAATGAAAAAGCATTTAAAGGGTGTAGCACTGTGCCCAGTATCATAATAGGTTTGCTCAAATAATGACTACTCAAGGGACCTTACAGATCACTATTTTAAAAGAGGAGAAAACGGGGGGCAAAACTGAACCCAACCTGTAGGTAAACATAAGGCATATTGGTAGGAGAAATTGACTATTGGCCCAAAAGGTACAAGATGATGTATTAAAGTGAGGGTCAGAGGTGAAAGGTGGTTAAGTTGGGGGATAAAACCAACATACAGTCCATTTAAAATGTACCAGAATTAATGAGCACCACTAGGTAAAAGGAGATAACAGAATTACATCTGTGACTAAAGACTTTGAAAGAAGCTGAAGTAGTTGTAGGGGCAGAGGGAAGGAGGAGGTGGGTCTTATTACAGGAGCTTAAGGCAGGAGTGAAGAACTATAGCAAAAGGTCCAGGTAGGAGCAAGACTTTGGGATAAATGGAGAGAAGGCTGTCATAAAATTTTAGAATTGGAAAAGACTAGCTCACATATATATTACAAATTAGAAAACAGCCTCAGGAATTTAACCAGTATTTATATGCTTTCTCCATTTCAGCTCAGTGGTTCTCAAACTTGACTGCATATTAGAATCAACTGAAGAGCTGTTTTTAAAAATTAGTGTTTTGGGCTGGGTATGGTGGTTCACACCTGTACTCACAGCAGTTTGAGAGGCTGAGGCTGGAGGATCACTTGAGGCCAGGAGTTTGAGACCAGCCTGGGCAACATAGCAAGATCCCATCTTTACAAAAAATAAAAAAATTAGTGTATGGTTGCACAATAATATAACAATAAGTATGTTAACATAATACTACTGAAGCATACACTTAAAATGGTTAAGATGGTAAATTTTATGTGTATTTTACAATTAAAAATAAAATTTTAAAATCACTATAGTTTTTAAAAGCTCCCCAAATGATGCTAATAATGTAGACCAGGGCTGAGAACCAGTCATTGTTTCCTTTACTAATCAAATGAACTCCCTGCCATCAGCCAGTTACTGATTCAAGAAACACAAGCAATGTGGCAGCCTCACTAGTCCTTCTGATGAATTGTTTCCTACAACCATATGAGCTTAGAGCCTCTCAAACGGGCCCCACGGATTTGGGTAATAGAGAAAGTTAAGTGGGCCCCTTGCAGAAACTGAACAGATAGTTAACTACTTACGTGGAAGATGACAGAAGACTAAGTTTGATGTGAACTCTCCGTACAACCTCTTTTTATTTTTTTTAAACAGGGTCTCTGTCACCTGGGCTAGAGTGCAGTGGTGTCATTAAAGCTCACAGCAACCTCAAACTCCTGGGCTCAAGCTATGCTCCTGCCTCAGCCTCCCAAGCAGCTGGGACTACAGGCATGCACCACCATGCCCGGCTAATTTTTCTATTTTTTTAGAGATGGGGTATTGCTGTGTTGCTCAGGCTTGTCTTGAACTCCTGACGTCAAGCAGTCCTCCCACCTCAGCCTTCCAAAGTACTAGGATTATAGGCGTGAGCCATCGTGCCCACCCTATACAACCACTTTATACTTCTCTCCACCCTTAATAAGAGTTAGTATTTATTAGGTGTTTATTCTGCCAGTTGTTACGTTGGTGCTCTACAG